ATTAAAGAAGTTTGTTTTATCTTGATCAGGTTGGTCAATTCATCATGTTGCCTTCAAAAGGGCCTGATATCAAAACACATGCAAGTTAAAGGCTCCCCTGATGATCTTCAATGCAAAGATCCACTCATAAAAGGGAAGCACTGGAATTATACGAAGCAGCTCTGTAATCTGACAACAGTTTTCAAGGAACAGTACCAGCTAGGTATTATTTGAGGAACTGTGGTTTAGTCGCTCCCTCAGGGGGTGATTATACTGATTTTTAGGGTTCCCTTATTTCAAGAAAATCAGCTGGATAGGTCCAACTGCTTTGTCTTCTCATTCTACCAGCTACTGGTATTGTTTTGAAGATTAGTATGAGACCCTCAAATGAAGAAGCTTATCATTGTGGCAGTGGAAGAAGATTCATACATACAGTACAACTTTATTTGTAACTTAAACTCTTATAATCAAATATCTTAAATAAGGCTCAGGGAGTCTATCATAATTCCTACAACAAAAGGCCAAATGAAGACTGCTTCTGTCCTAAGCACCATTTCAAGTGAGGCAAGTATAGGGAAAATTACCATTCAACTCCTCAACAGCTACCAATATTCTTTTGAAGTACAAACTAACTTGAACCCAATCTTTTGTGGCATGTCTAATCCAAACAGTTTGGCTGGGATGGAAAACTCCAGTCTCTGATATAAGAGAAAAGAAACTTAGAAACAGAAATGAGAAGTGACCTTTGCTGCCAGCAGCATACTGCTCCCAGTGTGGGGATTATGACAGAAATGCTCAGAGATTGCACAGAGATTTAAAGACTGCTCTGTCACCCTGACTTTTCTTCCCACAGAGCATTATGCAATTGTAGTCAGTGACATACAAGTAAGCAGCTTTGAGCCTTAGACTGACAGCAAGGTATGCAGACACTGTAAAATATTAAGCATTTTGGAAAACAGCCAAATGAAAACTTTCCACAAATGACTATGCCATATGCTGAAGTAGAATATGTATATTAACTTCCTAAGACAGCTGTTGGAGTTCCTTAGGAAAAATGAGTTGTCTCATTGTTTATTCAAAGTGTGATATTTTGTGGGACTATATTGGTGTGGGAAAGAGACTGGTTCTTTTCCTAGATCTCCAGCTCACTCCATGGCTTCAGCAAATATATGGAGGAACAGAGTGGAGTGAAGAACAAAACGTCTGTCTACAGGGCTGAACTGAAATCTAGTATAAACATCTTCACTGGCTTCCATTTTAAAACCAATCCATCAATAAGCTAGAAATCATTCAAACTTGGAAAAGAAAGTGTTTGTTTTGTTTGTTTGAGGATTTTTTTTGCTGGGTTTATAGCATGTTAAGACCAAAGTCTTCTGGAAATGCATTGAATAACAACCCCAAATCTGAGAATTGGCATATCGGGTATTGGGTACACAGCATTTGCTTCACATATAGCTAGGCTCCTCCATGACCTGACATATTTATTTACCTAAAGTTTCAAAGGAACTCATTACAAGATAAGTCTGTTACTGAATTCCTTGGCCTCATCAGATAATCTCCAGCAAATATTCTAAAGTGAGTAAAAACTAAATCCCAAATCTCTCCATAATGATAACCTATTTGCTTCCAGATGCCTATGTATTGTAGCAATCAAAATTCAGCTCTCTCTAGGCCCACAGTTTCTGCCAGTGTTTGCCAAAGCATTAGTGTCAGTGGAAAAAGAGACTCCAACTGAGATCAGGGTTCTGGTACCAAAGAAAAATAAGTCTTTACTCTGAAGAGCTTATAGTAGGAAGAGACAAAAAGGGGAAAGGCAGTGTGACTTGCTCAAGGTCATACAGCAGGGTGATGGCTGACTTAAGAATCAAGCCCCTGTCTCCTGAGCTGTAGTCCAGGATGCCTTCCAGTGAACTACGCTATCTATCTGAGATGCTTTGCTAAAGACTGTTGTTCCAATCACAGCACTAATTTTAAGTTATTTATTTATTTGTATGTTAGGAAATGGCCCTTCAGGAATATGCCTTTCCTACCTGCTGTCTGGCTATATCCCATATGTCAGTAGAGACTCTGTTCACCCTCATCCTATTCTACAGAGGAAACTACAAGAGCTGCCAGAGGTCTCCATTTTAGACCAGGTGTGTATAAAATGATAGGGCCTTTTAACAGGTGAAAGCCTCAATAATGGCATAATTAAATGTGCTGGGTTTTTTTATTATTTACAAAGTCGAATAAATGACATCGATGGTCCACTTGGATACCCCAAGAATGCAGGCAAAACAAACTATAACCACATGCTAATTTGTTTTCCAAATTGTTCTTGTATAAAGAGCCAGCACAAGTACTAAGCACTGCTCATATCTTCAAACAGTTCATAAGCCTTGTATTAACTAAGTGAATTTCAGAGGTACCGAACACCAAATGATGTTATTTGTAGCAGCTACATTTCAAAGTGATGTGAACGCTAAGTTTCAATTCTGCCTTCTAGGATCTGCAGTACCTTTCTGAAGGCTTAGAGGGACGATCCCACAGTCCTGTGGCTCTTCTCTTTGATACTCTATTGCGTCCAGATACAGATTTTGGTGGAACGGCAGATTCAGTCCTTTCTTGGTGGCATGAGGCTAACAGAACCATTCCCCATCTGGTCCTTGGCAAGAATCCTCCTGGAGGTGCCTGGCATGTATGTGTATCTAGATCAGTGGGGCCAGCCTTTTTTTGGCAGGCATGTCACAAACTAACCCTACACTCTCCCCAAGTGCCACTCTGGTCTCCTTTCTCTGCCTGATCTGTTGCTCTGCTTTCCTCTTCTTGCCCTATCTGCCACTGTGCTCCCTGTCCCCTCCCCAATCTGTTTCATGCCACACACAGAGGCTGCCCATGCCACCTGTGGCACATGTAATGCAGGTTGGCCATTTCCAGTCTAAATGATTATGCCTAAGTCTGTCTCAGGATAGCCAAAGTGTCCTAATTCAGGAACATAAAATATTCTTGAACAAGCTAGTCCTCTAGGTAAGTAGCATCCTACAGGGCTCTGCTTTATACATCCCAAAAAAGTAAGAGGGTTTGAATGGATGTGAGAATTGTACCCCAGCTGACTTCTACCTTTTGGCTCAATTAGGCTGAAGTCCATTAGCTTCACTGAAGTCTTATTACCTAGCATGTGATTGAATGGTTGGAATGTACTATTATTGGTAGTATTATAGCCTTTTTTCAGAGGCTAAAATGATTGACTCTTTTTGTTCAGTTTATTGAAGGATCTATGATCACTCTGAGCCAAGGAGAGTGGATGGGGCTTCCAGATTTTCAACTGAAAGACTGGATGAGGAAAAAGAGAAGGTGAAAAGACCTGCTATACAATTCCCTGTTTCTATCACCTAAGGGCACTTTAACATGTGCTCTGGGGGTGCAGGGGTAAGGTGCTTTAATTAAAGCACCACCACATCTTCAGTATCAGCGTCCCTGTGCATTAAAAATGGAGGTAAGGGTGCTCAAACTAAATGTGTTCAAGGAGCTTTAGTTCAAGCACCCCCACCACCATTTTCTAAATGTGGAGACACTGATACACAAGATGCAGGAGGCTGCTGGAGCACAGCAATTGCCACACTCCAGTAAACTCGATTAAGAGAGTCTGCTGAGATGCACTGGAATTCCAGCGCACTGGAGCAGTCTCCACAGTCATGTATAGGTGCCCCCACCTATATGTAAAATTATATCTTATATGTAAAACCGGTGCAAAGACCTTGCAGCAGTTAGCTACCTATTGTAGATGAAGGGCATAGATGGAAGTGACAATTTTTGCCCAATCTGACGAAAGCAGTCTACAGCCATAACAAGTGTATGCCTGCAGGCCACTTCAAAAATGGCCAATTGTGCAAAAATCTGAACCCACATTGTATGAGGGTTCTGATGAATGAAAACATTTCAAAACAGAGCATCTTCTGTAACTTGCCTGTGCTGCCTGTCAGCCTCAAACTGTTTTCAGAATGGGAGCAGAAGGAGTTTAGTCTGGGGGGTTTTCAGCCCCCACTGGAGGGTGGGTCAAGTATATTCACCCACCCTACCCCCCCAGAGCCACCTGGGGAGACCTCTAGAACAAGCTCCCTTTGCTCCCTTTCCCCCCCTCCCATTCTGAAAACAGAGACAGGCTAGGAGAGTAGAGGAGTCAGTGCTAGAGGAAACTGGCTGCAGGCTGGCAGCCAGCAGCTAGGTCCACCTCCCCCTTGAAACCAACAGTAAACTTCTGTTTGGTTCAGGGGATTATGGCAACTCAGAATGCTTTCCTGCAAATGAAGCTTGGGCTTTTTAAAGTTTAGTTAGGAGGCATGGAAAGCACTAACTTTTGTAATCTGTAGTCCTTTTTTTATATTTGTACTATTTCCTACTGGCAAACCAAATCCACCAGAGGTACAGTACAATCATTCAGATATTAAACTGCAAGTAGACTGTTTGTATCTCTTGGATCTGTAATTTATTTACATTTTTACATTTTAATTCTGAGAGAGCACAGATTGAAAAGCAAAACAGAAGTGATTAAAAAGTAGTAAGTAAATTGCTATGGATTGTGGAGTCTTCATAGCAGGCAATATTGCTGCTTCTTGTGTGATCATTTCTTTGCAGTTGAGGGATTAACTGGATTACACTGGTATAAAATTAGTGGAAAGAAAATGAAGTTTAGTTTCTCTGGTAGTGTTGGGGTATATGACTCTCTAATACATTAATCAGAGAAGATGAATTATGTGATCATAATTTGATAATATCTTATTACAGGGGCCTCAGAAACAACAGAGCTACAGCAAAAGACATTGCTCAATATTATCAACATTACGTGGCAAAGAAAGGGCTGCAGAAGAATTTTATCTGTGGGACTGTTGTGACATCTGTCCAGAAAGTGAGCCAAGATGTAATCTCTAACAATACACAGCAGGATCCTCAGGGGAATGGTGATTCCCTCTGGGATTTCCCCGAGATAAATAAGGAGAATAACCAGGTTGCTAATGGAAGTCTCTTCCAGGTGGATGGATTCATTAAAACCATTATGGGTGATCAGACGCCCTTCTCCATCTATGCAGAGAATGTGGTTTTAGCTACAGGAACCTATGATAGTCCGTCATGGCTTGGGGTCAATGGAGAGGATCTTCCTTATGTTCATCACAAACTCTCTACCCTTGAAGAAGCAGTGAAGAACAAGACAGTTGATATGACATCAGATCCAATCCTGATTGTAGGTGCTGGCCTGACAGCGGCTGATGCAGTTCTCTTTGCTCATCACTGCAGCATCCCAGTGATCCATGTTTTTCGGAGAAGAGTCAGTGATCCAGGCCTCATTTTCAATCAGCTTCCCAAAATGATGTATCCAGAGTACCACAAAGTCCATCAGATGATGACAGAACAGTCAGCTGTTTGTTCAGGGCCATACGAATGTTACATCAGCCTTCCTGAACATCATGTGATGTCCTTCACAGAGGACAAGAAGTGCATCTTTCAGGATAACAAAGGCCACCAGAAAGTCCATAACATTTCCATGGCTTTTGTTCTTATCGGCTCAAACCCCAACCTCTCCTTTTTACCAAATCATGGCCTTAACTTGGCAATGGACAACATGCAACCAGTCAATCCCAAGAGGAATCCCATAGATGTTGACCCATTTACATATGAATGCATTCAGGAAAAAGGACTTTATGCTGTGGGGCCATTAGCTGGGGACAACTTTGTGCGTTTTGTGCAGGGAGGGGCTCTAGCTGTTGCTAGCTCTTTGTTAAAGAAAGACAACAGAAAGCCTCCTTAACAAACAAAGCACAATAAGTCAGAAATATTGACATAGATTATACTATTCTCTTTGATAGGTGTACTTTCCTATCCAGGGTGCTCTTCAAGGCTGTACAGTCATCCGGTTGTCAGTAGGTCTGTTTGGGAAAAATGAGCCAGCAAGCACACTTCTTGGAATTTAGATTTGTAGTGTTGCTGAAGTTTCTACCATGTCAAATCTGGAGTAGCAGTTCCTTTTCTCTGCATGCATTTGCACTATAGCAGACAGAGCTTACATCTTATGCTGGGTAT